CGGCTGAGCCGCTCTCTTTTCCTCAGATGAGGACAAATTTGTAGGATTTTTAGATGAAAAAGGTCCTCGGCCCAAATAGGAAAAGGAGCGTTTTCAAATAGGGATCGTAGGCTGCCAGGCTCAGGTCCGAATCTAGGGCTCCGGGAGACCTTAGACGAGCGCCTGAACAACCTCTTTTGGAAAATTGGGGAAAGACAGTTCTCTCTGGTAGTGGATGTTGTGGGGGAGTAAATAAGATAATGCAAATGAGCTAGAGCAGGACTTGGCGCCTCACGAGGAAGTACACCGCGTGCGGCAGGTAGTGCTAACTCTGCGTGGGTGGGTGGGTTGGGCCCGCTGCTGAGAAGCTGGTTCGGAAGACAGAGCCTGGCTGCCATCGGAGGCTGGACCCGCCCTGCCAGTCTGGGAGTCGCACGCGGAATCCATCCCTTCCTCTAGTCCCTCCAACCCCTACTCCCAGGGAGGAGAAAAGACTTTAAAACCTTTTTGTCTTGATTAGAGTGCTAAACCTCCCCCAAATCTAAAGAAAAAAACAAAACCACTTCCATGTCTGAAAACAAAACAAAACATCTTTTGTAAATTTATTAGTAATTGAGAGACTAAACTGAGGGATTCTGAGATTGATGCCCAGACAAGTAAGACCGTAAACCTTCAGGCAATCCTTTGTTGTTAATTCTACATTATTCTCGTAGTCTTACTGTCTCCCTGAATTATCGGCTTCAACACTTACATAAACTCAGGCGGCCTTCTTTATAAAAGTGCTTGTGGAGATGCAGACGATTCTTCTGAGCAAAATGATGTCAACAAGAGAAAGTCTGCTAAAGAATGTCATTTATTATTGCCTGTGTACTCTTGTTTAAATTTATAGCCCATTGAAGAATTTAGGTTGAACCATTTGAACATGCTTTTGGGGGGGCTCAAAAATGGTTGACAGTAGTCAATTCCGTAGAATTTAACTTATGTTGTTAGACTCTTTATAGATATGGAAACAGTCTTAAAGTTTAGCACTCTTAAGACTTACAGGTTTAGAGCAGTCTAACCTTCTATGGCCTCAGGTCCAGTGAATGAATGAGCTGGGACTTGAAATCAAGTCAGGGTTGTCTGATGTGGTTGTCTGATGTGGAGGATCTGCTCTTATTCCTAGTATATAAGGTCACAGGAGTTTGGCTTGGCTGCTTGGGGGTTGCTTTCATTAGTGTAAAGTATGAGCTTCACACTATGCAAATATCGTTATTCATGTACTCAGAACATTTTTTTTCTGGATGTCCAAACTCATAGGTTTTAGTTTACTGGATTTCTTTAGTTGGATGGATTTCCAGGGAAGGCTTAAAGGAGCCCCATACACACGTGTCATCTTGGGCAAGCGGCTAACTCAATTTCCTCATGTGTTGGCATCTCTTTCATAGGGTGGTTCTAAGGGAGTAAGTGAAGTAATAAGTGTGGAAGCTATTACCCAACTGCCTGGCATGCAGTTGAAGTTTGATAAGTGGAAAGAACATTAATTCTTAGATCTAATGGATGCCATTTAGAAAGCTGAATATTTTAAATTTGCATTTTTTAAAGAGAAGGAAAAAAGTTGCAGCAACATTTGGGTAAAAATGGATACTCAAAAATCAAATCACTGGGATAATCTTTAGAGTTCGCCTTCATAGCATTGCAGTCTTAAAGAAAAACAAGAACGCTAGAGATCTGAGCAGATTGAATTGAAAAAGCATCCAGCTTCCTCTAAAGGTAGAGGCTAGAGTTAACAATAAGAAATGGGAGACTTTCTTTGTTCCCTTAGACCTCCTTTCTTAGCATTGAGTAGAAGTTTTTTTTTGTTTGTTTGTTTTTATGTGTTTGTTTTAATGCACAGATGGTCTGGGTTGAAGGGTGAGAGAGGCAGAAATACCACTGAGGCAGCTATGCATCTGGGTTTAAGGGAAACTCACTACTAGGCAACTGATCCATAGTGATCCACGTACCAGCAGCATATTTAGGGCATATAGCTGCCCCTCAGTCATTCAATCTTTAATGAATACCCGGCACATTTCAGCCCAGAGATCAGATGCTGGGGGAGGAGGAAGGAGCTGGGGAGAGGGAGACTGGTCACAGTGCTCCTGAAAAGTCCAGGAGGTGAATCTTTAGATAAATAATATCTAATTATTTATTTGTTCCTATATTCAGTCAGAGTACATTTTTGCAAATGAAGACAGATTTAGAATGAAATATTGAATGTAGAATTAAACAATGGAGAAGAGAGATCCAAACTAAATAAAGTCTCCATTCCAATTTCCTATGATACTCTGTTTTCATAGGATAGCAAGACAAAGGGAAGAGAGTGCTGGCACCAGTGTGTGTTTAATGAGGGACATTAGTGGAACATACCTTATCTGTGCCTACAGTGTGGAAAAATTTATATAAGAAAGGGAAATCCTTAAAATAGTACCCTATCACCCCACCCCCATAAAAACAGTGAAGTCTGAGGTGGTAAATCTCCTTTACAAACCAATCCTACTAAGTATGTTATAAGAAAGAAAGAAAAAAACTCTCAGAAAAGAGGAAAGGATTAGTTCCTCGTATATTTTTAGAAGAATCACATCACTATGCAGACTTGAATCTAGAATTTGAGGGTTATAAACCACTTTCCTCAGTGTTTCCACTACATCTTTACAGCCTGGCTGCTTTTCAGACACATGCATTTCTAACTCTTACTGGTCATTTCTTAGCTTCAGCTAGCAAAATGGTTGGCTTTTTAAAGGAACTTGTCTTTCTGATGGGAAAAGTGTGTCTATTTGTAAGGTGTCAAGAAATAGATAATAAAATAGATCCATTTCTGCTAACACAATAATACTCCTTTAATCTGAGCCAGTGCTGTGACTCATCCCAGTCTCCTCTTGTGGGATGGAAAGGGAGCTGTCTGCAAACCTTAGGCAGACAGCCTGGAGGAGGAAGGGAGGTTCCTCTCACACTCTAGGGCAGCTGGTCTGTGTCAGAAACTTGCAGGGTTCAGAAACTGCATTTTGTCTGGGCTGAAGTGACCCTCGGTACTCTGCAATGAGAGGTGTGCCAAGACAGCCCTGTTTTTAATAACTGTCTCAAGGTGAAAGCTGGCACCAAGACATCTTCTGTCCAGAGCCAAGGTGGCTTCCATGGGGCTCTTGGCAAACTGGAAAGCAGGGTCAGAATTGGCTTCAGATCGATTTGGCAGAACAAGGTGTAGAAAGATAGTCTTGAAAGGGAGACTTTTCTTATTTCTTTCTAGCTACAAAAACAAGCCCCCCCCAACTTATTTCCAAAGCAATGCATATTTGTAGAAAATCTGCAAAACAAATACACGCAAAGAAGAAAAATAAATAGTCCACTATAATTCTACCATTTGCAAAACTGTTAATACATCATTCGGAAAATATGCCCCCCTTTGCGTGTATAGTATTCTGCTTGTGTAACTTGTCTTTTCCTTTAGCAATGTTTTGCATATTATTCCATCTACCCTTTGACAATATGATTTTTAATAGATGCACAGTATTCTATTTTACAGTAATGCATTTAAACAACACTGTTGTTGGGCATTTAGGTCGTTTCCAGTTTCCTGCTTTTAGCATTTGTAAACACTCTGATGTTTAAATTTTTGTGCACACCTTAAGTCAATGTCTGTGAACCTTCAAAAGCCTCTGTATGTTCTTGGGAGAGAGGAAAGACAGAAAATTGTAACCAATAAAATAATGGCTGATTATAGCTCAAGCCTTTAAAGTTATCAAGAATCGCATAGGGATGATACTCCTTGACAGAGGGTAGGCTATTTGAGTTCATTTTTGCATTTATCAAGTATTGATTGAGTCCAGATGGAATACCTATAGGTTGAGGAGAGGAGTAGAAAATATCTTTCCACATTTTCCTTCTGGACAGTGTGTTTTCTGGACAGCCTTTATGTCCAGTGGGTGACAGGGGGTGGATGAGGCTGACCACTCCCCTTGTGAGCTGTCTACAGAACAGTTTCCTGAGCAGCTAGTTCAGTGATTCTAAAGCACTGATTCAGTGGGAGAGGGACACTGAGAAAGATGGGAGAAAGGGAGAGAGAAGAAAACACCATGAGTCTGATCTCTCTTGTGCTTTGGCCTGTCTCTCTATGAGTTTATTTGTAAGTCTTTTATTTACTTTTTATATTTAAATCTATCTGTCTGTCTATCTATCTATCTATCTAAAACATCGTTGTTCATTTTTGTACAATGTATGCTTTTCCTCTCAGATGTAGTCCCTGTGAAATCACTACCACAATTTACCCATGCACCATCACTATCATCTCCTATGCTTACTTCCCCTGTTTTGAGTCCTCCCCGCCCCCTCCTCTGCAGAAGGTCTCTGATTTTATAGTCCCCTGTTAATTTTGTTTTTTAAACTATAATAATTATTATTTTTCCCTGATCCCTTACCTTGTTCCCCTGTATTCCTCTTATAAGTGAATCCATCTGTTATTTTTTTTTCCTTATTTAACTGAGCATACACAACCCCTTCTAGCTCCATCCATGATGCTGCAAATGGCATGAGTTTATAATTTTTTATAGCCAAGTAATATTTCTTTGTATGTATATATACCACATTTTCTTGATCCAGTCA